AGCCAAATCTAGACCTAACCTAAGTCTTACCTAGCTGACACTTAGTCAAAATCAAGTTATCTTAGGTTTAACTTGACTTAGGCCAAATATAACTGAACCACAGGGCCAACCTGACCTAACTTGGGTTAACGCAATCTAATTGTATCACCGGGTCAACCTGACCTAACTTGGGTTAACCCAATTAACTGTATCATCAGTGCAACCCGACTTAACTCTAGTTAACCTAATCCAAGTCAACCTGAGTCAACCCGACCCAACCCAATCCAACTGAACTATTGGGTCAATCTGACCTAACTCGGACCTAATTCAACTAAACCATCAGATCAACCCAACTCAACTTGGGTCAACTCAATTCGGGTCAGCCTGACCTAACTTAGGCTAACCTAAAATCAACCCAACCGATGGGGACAACCTAACCTAACTCAAGCTAATCCAAAAATAACTTTTTTTTCTGGACAATCGGACTAAAATCTGATCAACCATATTTGAGACTCAACTCCAAGCTTAATGTAAGACTCAACCCCAGTTTAACAAGGATTTATTTAACTCTAACCCAACCTAGACTTAGAAAGATAGTTCAAGTCTAAATTATCTATACTTCACCCAAGTCTAATTTAACTTAAGCTTGATTCAACCTATGAAGTTTAACTTGGATCAGTCCAGTTCAATATGATTTGCTCCCAAGTTAATCCAACTTGGTTTGACTTGCTTACCTTAAGTCAACCTAAACTAAGACTAGTTTGATTCTAATCAAACTAAGTCAACCTGGGTCAATCCTATTAAACTTTGGTAGATTTAAACAAGCTTGAAGATAGTCCAAGGAACAACCAGCCTAACTCAAGTTAACTCGGATTACCCAGAGACTCATCTTTGGATCAGTTCAATCCATCTTGAACTAATCTTAAATCAACCTGAGCCTAGGTGACTGAAGGTTAAATAGGGTTTGACTTCTCATGCGAGAGCAAAAGCACACGTAGCCTCAGTCGAGGATAATTTTAGCTAAGGTACCAAACCAATCCAAAAGAAATGAAATAAAATCCACCCTAAAAGACATTAAAACTTAAACTTGAACAAAAAAATATAACTTGGTTTAAGAAGTTATTTTGGAGAAGGCAATTCATGGCTGATAACAAAATATCTTTCAGTCATCTGTGACTTATCAAACTGCAATTTACAATGATCCTGGGATGACTGAATCATGGGAACTAGACCGGTTCATCCCAAACAACAAAAATAAAACACAAAATGATAAAAAAAATTTAATCGGCTAATAAGTGTTAAGCAACCTAAAATTTTCAACCCTTAAAATCTAAAAATGCACTAAAACTTAAATGAAACCCTAATAAACAAATATCATTGAACACAATTTGAACCCCAGATACTCGGGTCTACGAATTTCTCTTGTACGACACAACCCATGATTGCTGACAAGAATCTTCTGGTCCAAAAGGTTTGACCACGTCTTGGACAAAAGTAGATCAGGGAATCTGACAACTCCAGGATGATGGAAATACATGGGCATCCTAACCGGGTTTTTTTAAAAAAAATTAATAATATTAACCAACCAACTAAACCAAAGTTGTTTCATGCTAACTTTGTTTTGCAGGGCTGCTGAAGACAAAAGGCGGACATTACCCTAGACTTACTTTACATGTTATTAAAGTGTGTTAACTCTATTTTGCATGGAAAAACATTCAAAACATGGAGCAAAAGGATGAACCTCAATTAAACCATCAACGACAAAACAAAACTCTAGGATAGTTCATAATCTATAGGAATCCACTACCATTAGGATAAGACTTTGACATTCCTTTCCTTCACAATGACATATGAACTTTTTTAGAACAAATTATAACCTCAATTGAGAGTTTTTTTAAATAGTCTCGACTACTTAAGATGTAATTAGCTACAGGGACTTATCTTTATAGGATGATACAAATCTGAGAACATATAAATCAACCTAAACTCTATAGTAGTTAGCTTTTGTAAGGTCTCTTTCCTAGTTATATCTCTAAAGTATACCGAGGTTATCTCACTTTGAACTTATTATTTGAACTATTGATGCAAAAATTCAGTTTATGAAGGCTTCCTGTATACTTCTTTTATTTTTTCCCGTTCGTGCCTACCCCAGTCCTCCGACTTCATAGCTCTTAGTTCACCTACATGATCTGAATGAAGAATTATTTGGAAAAGATGTCAACATAACAGAAAACAAACTAGTGACTGCTCAACGACAACGACATCATAAAAAAGAGGAAATGAAGAACAGTGGACGCAAAACGAGCAGCCACAGACATGCTGACAATACATGGTGGTATTCACATTATGAATTACTAGTATGACTATTCATATGTTCTCCTTAATATTTGATATAGTAAAATTTATGATGGAGGACGGCTTATGCTCTGACTAAAAAGGGGAGGCTTGCCCATTATTAGAAACGTTATAAACTTCTGAATTTCTTATCACTATATTTGAAGAAAGTTATACTTAAACTTACTATTAATTATCACAAGCATGCAGAGAAATAATTAGATATTATGAATGTTATACATTTAATTCAAATATTAAAAATAAGATCATAGGACATTAGATGATAAAGTGAAATGACTTCATCAACACAGTTTCTTTATTTTGTAAGTAATAGAAGATTGATTTTTTTCTCAAATGATTGATAAATGATTGCTCATGAAATTCTTCATTGTAGATTTAAGACAATAATTTACATCATTTTTAAGTTAAAAATTTTCACATTATCTTTGATGAGCAATTTCAAGTTGATTGAATATGTTATTAAGATAAACTTTGAATTTAGTTTGTACATGACATGCTTGAATTCAAATAGCTTATTAAATGCATTCAATAAAGACAAGCTCATCAGAATAGTAAATATTTATCCAAATGATATAATTTCCAATAGATCTAATGATTTTTTATGATCAACTAAAAAACTATATTATTGCAATTGATGCATAATTTTCATCCTAAGAAATCATGGAAGCACTGCTAAAAAATTGATCTAGAGAAAGAAGATTGTTTAATATACATTTTTTTTCAGGCTTTAAAAACTAGCATTATGTTTATATTTTATTAAATATTATAAGCGTTTTTTTTTTTGCTATGAAAAAAAATCAACTCTAAATTAGATTAAAAATAAGTATTTTAATGATGCTTTAATAACTTCAAAAAAAACTTATTGGATTTTAGTGATTATATTGTAATCATTTTGCGCTTTCATAATATAAAGAATATGCATTATTGTATCTTGATATATTTTATCGTTTTATATCTAGTCCCAACTCGGATATAATGGATTGATGATATATTTGAAATACTCAAATTGTGTCCCTATTAGAAAAAAAAAATTTTGCTTCGTTAAAAAAAGCAATGGCATGGTTGCCAAGCTTGACATTTATATGATGGTGGTGGTGAAGGAGATGTGTGATGACAGTCTTGAACTGGATGAGGAAGAGTTAGAATGCATGACCAATGAGGCAGAATCTAATAAGTCAAAGAATGTTGCTATTAGTGACAAAATGATGCAATTAAATTTTAGGTTGCCTTTACCATTTTTTGTTGCTAGATTGAGAAGCTAGTGAAGTAGAATTTGCCATGTTAAGAGATGATTGTTAAGGGAAGGATAATGATTCAGCAATCATAGCTAAAAATTAATGGGTTTACTGCTGCATAAAATACAGAAGGTGAAGACTGTAATGTATTTTACATGATATTATGAATTATAAGTGAAACATTTTTGAATAATTTGAAGAGTTTTGCAATGGTATTATTATTATTATTATTATTATTATATAAAATAATACACTTTTATTCTCTTGTTTTTAATTTATGACGACAAATTTAATTGGAAGAAAAACTTTCAATCATATAAATTTTAAGAATCATTTCTTATAATTAATTAGAAATTAAAATTTGTATGCATTGTTATTGGATTTGATAGCTTTAGCCTAAACCTGAGAGTAAAGCAGGATTTAAAACTAATATTTTAGGTAGACAAGTATTTGTTTAATTTATTTAGACCAAAGATTTCAACTTCTCTTTGTTGGTAAGTTAATAGCTTGCAAAAAATCCGGCATGAAACCTAAAGTAAGGCCCAACTCAATCATTGATTTAGCGAACGGAAAGGTACTTCGTGCCTAGCTACTACTTTTTTCTACTTCTTTTTGGGAACTTACAAATGTACCACACAATTCTTATGTATGGACATATTTAACACCCAAGTTTCATATTTGCATTTTAACATAACAAATGCATGAAAATGTGCACCACTTTTAAAAGATAAGTGATAATGGTATTTCTCATTTGATGTAAGAGATTTGTGTATGCACGTAAATATCAAATTTTAGGTGTTTGATAAGTAAATTTATAAAAATTGTGTTGTGTATGGGTTAGTTTTTAAAGTAACTTCTCGCTGAATTTATGTGCATGCCCTTCAAAAGTAAACCCTTGCATCAGCCCAATAAAAAATAATAATAATAATAATAAAGATAATTTAAGCAACTACGAATAAGCCAATTGGCTGGCACGAATTTTTAAAAGATAAAAGTTCATATAGACAATCACACACTTCTGCATCGATATGCACACCCACAGCACTCACTTTGGCAAGATGGTTGGCAAAGTTCAGCTAAAAGTGTTCTGTGGCATTGCTCGAGTTTAAAGTTCATTAGAAGATATTTAAAAACCAAGAAAGGTTCAGAGTTGCAGCTTCAACTTAAGCAGGGCAGAGATTAAGCCATTTTTTCAATAAAAAAAAAAAAAACTCCAGTTTGGCATATAAAATGCAATGGGTTTAACAATCTCAGCACTCGAGATATTCTTAACATTTTCACAGTCAAGTCAATAATTTCTAACGCAGAAATTTACGCAGAAACACTCACATCTTCGGGAACATATTTAAATAGACACCGTACGAGAAAACATTAGAAAAAAATGGACTTCAATCAGCTAATAACACAAGCAATTACCAAGCATATATATACTTCAATAAAACAGCAAATAACTTGTGCAGTAGACGCTGAGTTTGTTCTAAAACAAAAATAATAAAAGGGGTCTAAACATTAGTTCAACATAATACCATTAATAATAACAGAAGCAACTCATAAAGACTACATATCAAGCCAATCCATCTAAACCAAAAAATAATAAACTTCATCGGTTATCCCTCCGCCTTGCATATCGAGTTCGGTCGTTATATCTGGGCCTGTCTTGAGCTCTCTGGGGCACTGGCTCAACCCTCCGTTGCCGTTCAGGAGACCGCTTGACAATTTGTCCATTCACAAACAGCTCGGCTGCAAAAGACATTATGGAAAATAACTATATTTTCTTTGGAGCAATGATTCTTCGGAAGTAGGCTTCAACTTGGGACATAAAGGTTGGCAGTCAGCATATAATGTGTGCATAGGAAGCCAACCCTTGATGTCATTCAGTAGTTAGTATCTGATTTAAACAATCCCCTACAGGGGCATGCAACCAAATTTCAAAACATGAAAAGATTTGAAAGTTATTTATTTATTTATTTTAAAACAATTGGTATTAAAGCATATAAGAAATTTCAACATTGGTCACAAGCAGCAGTAATTGGCAAGAATAGCGCTTCCTTTCTCTAAGAACAAACCCAAAAATCCTTGTAATTAAATCGCTGCCAACCTGACCTTTAAAACTCCATTTTGGTAATGCATTCTATTTAATTTTAAGAGAGATTCTTTACACCAAAATAAAATAAATTAATTGATTCACATTATCATATGAAAATAAATATGGAGATAAATTAGTTATTGCAAACTGCGTGGATCACCTTACTAAAAATTAGATACACACGAAACTAACACAAACACACCCGCAAAGAGAGAGAGAGAGAGAGAGAGACATTAACGGCCATTTGAGATTACTTTTATTTTTATTTTATATTACCTATGTTTTGATTTGAAATAAAACAAAATTGATGGTAATAATTATTGAAAAAAAACACTCAAAACATTTTAAAATTATTTTGAGTATTTAAAAACAAGATGATTTATTTTAGAAAAATAATAAAATACAAAAAAAATAATAATAAAAAACAGGCTTTCAAAAACAATAGTAACAAAAATAAAGCATCCAAAACAGACCTTGCACAATTCAATAGAATCAATGAAAATGTTAGAAGTGGACAGAAATAATCATGAGGGTTTGGAAAAAATATAAAAGGCTACAAACACAATTTTAGACTTGGTAAGAGTTGATCACAGCCACATCACCCGTATGTTGCAGCCTAAAGTGCATTACTTTTTCTGGTGCAACTATAAAATTCGTAAATTAATTGAAAAAAAAGTAAGCTATCAAATACCACCACCAGCATAGAAAAATCAACTAATAAATAAGACAAATAGATGTTTATTTAGAAAACAGCGTGTTTTTATCCAACTTAAATTATTAACACATTACACAATATTTTAGAACACATAAAATAATCATAAAGCAAATTGCATATGGGTTCATAATTTACAGCAAATTGCAATTCTTTACAACTTCAGAAACCAACTTGCAAAATCCTCTATTATTATATCAAATTGCAGCAACAGCAACAACAAGTTTATCCCATTAAGTGAGACCGGCTACATGAATTATTTTTCTCCATTGTATGCTCTTATTGAGTGTCATATTTTCATTTAATTCTAATAACTTAAGATCACCTTTACACAACATGCCCAAGTCTTTTTTTTTATCTACTTTTACCTTTCTTAGCATAAGTCGAAACTAAAACATCTACTCTCATAACCGGATCATTAGATGGTCAATGTTTAATATGACCAAACCATCTATAAGACGACTCTCTCCAATCTTGTCTGCCACTGGGGTTACTCAAACAAAAGCATTTTAGACTCTAATGCAGACCTCCATAATTCAAGTTTATCCTGAACTTTATCTCTAGTCATATCCACAAGAAGGATATCATCGGTGAAAAGCATACACCAAGGTACATCCTCTGTAAATGTCCAATAATTGCATCCATGGCTAAAGCAAAAGGATATAGGCTTAAAGCCTGTCCTTGATGTAATCCAACAGAAATAGGAAAATAGTAGGTCGATCCTCCTCCTGTTCAAACACAAGTAGCGCTCTAGCATACATATCTTTAATGACTTAAATGTAAGTCATATCAACATCTTTATTTTCTAGAACTCTCCACAAAACCTCTTGGAACCTTATCATAAGCTTTTTCTAAATAAATAAAAAGCATTTGTAGATCCTCCTTACTCATGTATTTCTCCATCAAACCTCCCAATAAATGTATAGCTTTCATAATAGACTTGTCCGGCATAAATTAAAACTGACTATGAGAAATATGTGTACCATGTCTTAACGTAGGTTGAATTATTCTCCTATAATTTTAATGTTGACATATTAACTTAATTTTTCTATAATTTACACACTTTTGTGCATCCTCATTATTCTTAAAAATGGGGACTAAAAAAGTCTTCCTCCACTCAAGTATATTTTTTGTTTTTAAAATAATATTAAAAAGTTTAGTAAGGCAAAAAATTCTCAAAATTCCTAAAGATTTTCACTTCTCTTGCGATATCATCAAGTCCTACTGATTTCCCATCATTGATTTTCCTTAAAGCCTCCACAACTTCCTTTTTATTATAGTGATGGTAAAAAATAAAAAATTTTATTATTATTAACAATATTAAAGTCACTAAGGCCAATCGTATTTCAAAAACCTCATTGAAAAGATTATCAAAAAATCTCACCCACCTATGTTGAATATCTTCTTCTAAGAAAAACACTTTTATTTTCATCTTTAATACGGTTGAATTAAATCTTTACTTTTATTTCCTCTTTGTTCGACTAGTTTATACTTATATCTTTACATATATCTTTCACCCTCTTTAGTATCTAATTTATTATAAAAATCTCTAAAAGTAGAATTATTAACATCACAAACTATTCTTTGACTCCCTACGGGTGAGTTACTTTATATTTTTCCCAGTTCTCTAAGATTTTACATTCGAAGCAATTTTTACAATAAAATTTCTTATATTTTATCTTTTCTTGCACATTTTCATTCCACCACCAATTATTTTTATTTATAAAAACATTTCCTTTTGATTCTCGAAGTACGTCTTTTGTCACTTGTTTAATGGTATTTATTATTTTTTCTCATATAAAATTAACTTCTTCATAAATATCCCAAATCTTAAAATCTTAAAATTTGTTCATAAAAATAATTTTATATCTTGCAGGTACCCTTATCGAATTCTATATCAATTATTTATTGTATTTTTTATCTTCAAACTCCTCATCTTATAATCTAGAACTACTAATCGATGTTGAGTACTTAAATATTCAATTGGAATGACTTTACAATCTTTACATTCTCAACGATCTATTTTTTTCATAAGAAAATAATCAACTTTTATTTTATTAGATCCATTTTTATAAATAATAAGATGTTCAAATCCTTTCTTAAATTAAAAAATACAAATAAAAAAATCATAAATTAAAGCAAAATTTAATATAGTTTTATATTTTTCATTAATCACTCCAAAATTGTAGCAACTATGAATATTTCAAAGTGCATATGGATCCAAATAAAAAAGAACCCAAAAAGGAAGACATGTAAGACACCATTTGTTTTCATATCAATACATCAGTCCTAGCAAACTAATAAGCCTAATCGTGCATAGACATATAGACGAAGACAAAATGTTGGGGAATTTTAATATTGGGCAGGCAACAAAATAAGAATAATAATTGTAATAATAGGCTGTATAAAGAGACAAAATAATCTAGTTTTCATAGCAATACATCAGTCCTAACTAACTACTAAGCCTAATCGAGCATTTTAGAGTAGACATAGACAAAGACAAAAGATTGGGGAATTTTAATATTGGGCAGACAACAAAATAAGGGATAATAAATGTAATAGATGTATAGACAGACAAAATAATATAGTGTTCTGCACGTGGATAGAAAAAAAACAAACTTGGTGAATTATGTCTACTTCAGATGCACTAGATGAAAGATATCAATTGGGTAAGAACAAAAAAAAATTAACATAAATAAATGCTGAAAATCAGATGTTAACATTTTTTGCAAATTTTGTTAATAAAAGAACAAGACATAACAATTGATAAAACAATACGCCAAATACACAAATGTGGATAGAAAAAAACTAACTCGGTGAGTTAGGTTGCTTTATATTTCATATGCACTACTAGAAAGATATAAATTGGGCAAGAAATAAAAGAAATGGAAATAACTAAATACTGAAAATCAGCTGTTAAAATTTTTCACAAATTTTGTTAATAATAGAACAAGACATATTACAGTTGATAAAACAATGCGCCAAATATACATAAAATATAAAAATTAAATGGGTGAATGTGCATATTTTTTCTGTCATGCAAATGTACTAGAACTGGAGTAGGGAAGCAAGACTTCTATGTTTTCACATGTAGAAGCAAGACTTTATGTTTTCACAAAAAAGATATTTCTTTTTCTTGTGCAGATCAAGCATAACGCGAAGATCTGTTTTTCTGTCATGCAAATGTACTAGAACTGGAGTAGGGAAGCAAGACTTCTATGTTTTCACATGTAGAAGCAAGACTTTATGTTTTCACAAAAAAGATATTTCTTTTTCTTGTGCAGATCGAGCATAACGCGAAGATCTGACTCGAAACTCCCAATTTTTTAAAACCATCATATAGGACGTTTGAGTAACTACAATATTCATAAATTTTCGGACTACCAGAGTAAAAAGTCATAAATATTGCCAAAGTCTGGATGCGAGTAAAGTCCAAATGTTAACCCATTAAATAGAAAAATTCGGGAATTATACAAAAACCATGATGATTGAGGTTTATAAATTCTGCAGTCTGAATCATAAGTCTTTTGCATTGATATGACAATATAGCAAACTGAATAACGTTTTACATTTTCAATTTGATATTTAAAAACATGCATAAGATGATATCGCCTTTGAGATGAGAATGTGTTCTATAATATTAAAAAACTTTTGTACAATTCAAGTCACCTTTGCTCTAGATTTACTAACTTGGTTGGGCCGAGCTTGTTGCTCTCAACTGGATGCATTTGTTAAGCACCAGTATTGTTTTTGTTATCTAGGATATCCTTTCTTAATCCTGTGGCAAAATTAGTGACGATGGGATCCAATAGCAAAGTCTTCAATATGTTGTAGTAAATCCCTAGTGTACTCCATAATTTACAACTAGTGCTATCTACCTATTGTTATTACTTCCTCCATATGTATTTCATCCACAAGGCTTCTATAGTGGGTGCTCTTTAC